GGAGGAGATAGTTATTCTTTCCAATGTTTCTCCTGATATGTGGGCAACTGGCAATACCAGACTAGCCAGAAAATGTCACTATTGTATAATGTATTGAAACCTCAGTACAGCCTGGTTTAAAGACTTCTATCACTAAGGGATGTGTGACATTCACCGACAGTACTCACCTGTCCCGTGGCAACCCACGATGCCCTGGAGGTCAGTCTGCAGCGGTCATAGTGCCTGTGGCTGTAGCACTCCAATCGGCATCCTCTGAACCTATATCACGGCCAGGGAACTTGCAGTGATTGTTCCAGTATTCGAAGAAGGCAGCCGTTGCATTAGGGAAACTGGTCTGCAGGTCAAAGGTTGGAGGAAGTATTTATTTATTTTATTTATTTATAAAATATTTTACCAGGAAAGATACATTGAGATTTCTCTCATTTTCAAGTATGTCCTGGGAAGTATGACTGAGGGGCAGAGCCAGGACAATGATGCATCCAAGATGGGGCTGAGTCTCACAGTCAGTCATATTGACCATAGGTAACCTTTCCCACAGGTGAGACCAGGTCATGTGATTGAGCCACTCCTTTATAAGGAGAGCACAACTTTCAGTCAGTGCTTGGTTGTTTTGTTGCATGCCTCAGAACTCCTAGTGATTGTTTCCCTGTTTTTCCTTTCCTTGCTGCTTTTCTGACTTTGCTTGCTCTCTTGATTTTGCTGATTGCCGCCTGCCCTGACCTCAGGACCATCTGACTCTGACTTCTACCTGACCCTTCTTCGGATACCTTTGCCTTGATATTTCTGTAAGTTTTATTAAATCTTCTGTGCCATCACTGACCTGACAGAATCCTGTTCCCAACCTCAGAATCTCTGTGGATCATGCTTGTAAGGGAGAGCTATTACTGCACCTGAGTAGTGATGTACCGAACGGTTCGCCGGCGAACGGTTCCCGGCGAACATAGCATGTTCGCGTTCGCCACGGCGGGCGAACATATGCGCGGTTCGACCCGCCCCCTATTCGTCATCATTGAGTAAACTTTGACCCTGTACCTCACAGTCAGCAGACACATTCCAGCCAATTAGCAGCACAGCCTCCCTAGCAGACCCTCCCACCTACTGGACAGCATCCATTTTAGATTCATTCTCAAGCTGCATGCTTAGTAAGAGGAGGGAAAGTGTAGCTGCTGTTCATAAGATAGGGAAAAGCATAGCTAGGTTAGGGATAAGGGTATGCTTTTTTTTGATTTTTTTTTTCTATGTAATGTAAATGCACTTAGTTGTCTGCCACTGCTGCCAGCTTCTGTGTCAGGCTCACAGTGCCATTTCCCCAGTCAGTGCCACCAATTACATCTGGTGTCACAATAGCTTGGATTTAAAAACAAAAAACTTTTTTCACTGTTATAGATTGAATAGCAGTCAGTTGTCTGCCACTGCTGCCAGCTTCTGTGTCAGGCTCACAGTGCATACTGTGCCCATTTCCCCAGTCAGTGCCACCAATTACATCTGGTGTCACAATAGCTTGGATTTAAAAACAAAAAACTTTTTTCACTGTTATAGATTGAATAGCAGTCAGTGTCCTTAAAGCGGGTGTGTTACGCTAACAGTGGATACTGTGACAAGTGCCACTAATTAGATCTGGTGTCACAATAGCTTGGATTTAAAAACAAAAAACTTTTTTTACTGTTATAGATTGAATAGCAGTCAGTGTCCTTAAAGCGGGTGTGTTACGCTAACAGTGGATACGCTGACAAGTGCCACTAATTAGATCTGGTGTCACAATAGTTTGATTTTAAAAAAAAAATAATCTTTTTTCACTGTTATAGATTGAATAGCAGTCAGTGTCCTTAAAGCGGGTGTGTTACGCTAACAGTGGATACGCAGACCAGTGCCACCAATTAGATCTGGTGACACAAAGCTTGGATTTAAAAAAACAAAACACTTTTTTCACTGTTATAGATTGA